CGCTCGCGCACCTCCTACCTCCGCGAGCCGGCCACGCCCCCTTGAGGGCCTCTCTGAGGTGGGAGCCCAGCTGCAGGCTGCGGCTCTGCTGGGCTCAGAATCCCGGAGCCCCAGGCACTTGTGTGCCTCCAAATGCATTGCAGTAGGAAGTACGCACACTTATGAAGTAGTGTTGCCATAAAGTTTTACCTGAAATAAGCGAGATAATAGTATTATGGTTAACAAGAAAAAACAAAGTCCATAATTTTTAGAGATACACATACAAATGCTTATAGATGAAAGGATGTATCGGAGACTTGCCAAAGCATGATGAAGGGGTAGACGAAATGTCATGAGGTGGTAATTATTGAAATTGGGTGTCAGGTACATGGAGGTTTTCTATACTGTTATAGTTTGAAGTTTTCCATAATACAGTTTTTTAAATGCACAACCTTAGGTGAACTTCAAAAACATGCTAAGTGCAAGAAGCCAGACACAAAAGGCTGCATTCTGGAAAAGGTGAACTTTAAAGATAAAGGAATCAGACCACTGATTGCCAGGATTTGGGTTTGGGAGGTAGGGACTTGTTAGAGGAGGCGGACAGAAAGATGAGCTGGGAGAGGCAGCTGGGGCTTGGAGGAAGTAAGTGCCAGACCTGACAAGCTGAAAACAATGGAGGTGGCAGGCCTTTATGTGAGCAGGAAAGAGTCAGAGCTCTCCAGGATGAGTCTAACTGGTGGCATTGTAGATGAAGGAGTCTTGTAACTTAAAGATACATTTTTGGGGGGAAATAAGGGAAGGGAAGACTTACTAAAGGGCACTCCAGTCTAGGGATATAAATATCCCAAACCCCACCAGGCAGGACACTCGGTTCCGTTTCGGCCAGCTTAGTTGCCCGCTCAGGTCCTCTCTGAGTGTATTGCTTTCCTACAAATAATTCCTTGCCTGTTTTTGCTGTTTTTTATTGCCTTTTGTTTGACTTTATTTGTACAAGCGAGATAAAAACAGGGGATACAGAGGACTGTCTCTGGCCAGAAGTTACCTCCGGCCAGAGACCCCCTTGTCCACCGCTGACAGATTAACCACAAAGGGATGCCACGAACTTTTTTGGGTGATGAAAATGCTGTATATCTCAACTGTGTGGTTACATGACTGTATACATTTGTCAAAATTCAGAACTGTACACCAAAGGAAGGTGAATTTTACTATATGTAAATTATATCTCAATAAACCTGACTTAAAAAAATGCTTGTTGCAAAGGCACTATCTCAGGCTTCATATCATAGGATGCAAAAAAAATTAATGTTTTCAGGGACCCACACTGCCACCAAACTCAAGGAGTTTGCCACTTGGGATGCTCTATTCAAAAATGAGACATGGGCCCTAGCTCGTTTGGCTCAAGCGTCAGCCTGCCGACAAAAGGGTCCCAGGTTCGATTCTGGTCAAGGGCACATACCTAGGTTGTAGGCTTCTCCCTTGCCCAGGCCCTGCAGTAGGCAACCAATTGATGTGTTTCTCTCACATCAATGTTTCCCTCTCTTCCACTCTCCCTAAAAATCAATGGAAAAATACCTTCAGGTGAGAGAAACCAAGATGGCGGCATAGGTAAACACCGGAGATTGCTGCCTTGCACAACCACTTCAAAAATACAACTAAAAGACATAACGGACATCATCCAGAACCACAGGAAGGCTGGCTGAGTGGAATTTCTACAACTAGAAGGAAAGAGAAAAGCATACCGAGACTCAGAGGAGGTGCGGTGC